AGGACAAAGTAATATTTAATAGTTTGTGTTAAATTGTAGCATGAGTCAACAGTGCTAAACTCTGTAAAAGTGACCCATCACATCGAAATGAGGATTAAGACTAAAAGTGGTAAATGGAGAAATAGGCAAATGTTTTAATTAAAATGTTTGCAAAAATTGCATTTTGTCAAAACATAATGAATCAACGCCTTTTCAATGTATCATTTGAATGAATTGTCTGAAATATAATCATAAAACAAAAATTTGAAGCATGTTTTTGAGCAGTACCAACCAAAAACCTGATTTTGAGGAAAAACGCCTTAAAATTTAGAGATTTTCCCTGTGAGCTAGAAATGTTTGTTTCTTTTCAGCTGGAAAATCTCAATATTCAAACACTATCTGAAGTTTTTTCTTTATTTTGACATAAAAAAATTCTCCTTAAAATTACATAAAATTAGGATTCAGACCAAATATTATTGTATTATTGTAACCAACAAGACAAATGAAGTCATATATCTGGATCCACGTATGATATATCAGGATGATCCAGGTATCAAAATGTAGCTTTTAAAGCCAAGAATCTGAAAATGTAATGAGGTCATTTTGACCAAATTTGACTTAATCCTCATTTCGATATGATGGGTCACATATATGCTCCACAAGCTAATATCTGTTAACCAGTTCAATAAATAACAGTGATTACATGAACTTTATAAGATTATTTTAATTTTAAACTGTTACATTATGTTCTGCTCAGATCACATTGAGCTAAATAAGATCAAATCTGCTGACTTGTGTTGTAAAATGAGACGTTTTCCTGTTTATCTTCTGTTAATAAATCTATAACATAAACAGCTTTTCTGACATTATTAAAAACATTAGATAGATTATATAAACTGTACAATTTTAATAATAATTGGATTAATATTATTATTAATAGTTTTAATGATTTCTACATCGTCAGGTCTTTTTTTTCTGCTCTGTTGTCAACATGTACAGTGATGGGAAATCAGACTCTTGACTGTTTAGCGTTAGCCGTTAGCTTCTCCAGCCGATCACATGGTCACCTGGTTTCTGAGCTCCAGCTGTTCTATWGAACCTCRTTGGGAGGCTGACAGCATGGCGCCCTCTTCTGGATGATGGTCAAACTAAACTGAAATAAAGTTTAAACAAACATCAATAAATCGAATGGAGGGAATTTTAATCTAATAGATCATTATTCAGCAATTAATCGTGAGTCAATTAGTTGTTTGCATCCCTAGTTTACACAGATGTTCCCACACTGACCTGGAAACGTGTGGAGACTGGTTTTAAGGGTTTTATATTTAAGATGTTCCTACACTAATAAAAGTTTGGAATATTGAAAATGAGAAACGTGGGTTAAAAAGAAAGAGAAATGCTCTCAGCCGGACGATCGGCTCAAACTCTCCTCTCTGATGTGTTTTCAGAGGAGAGCAGCGTGGAAGGCTCCTGGATGATGAGAAACGACACCCTCCAAACACCGGGGGCGCTGCAGACCCCTCAGCTCACCTCTACGGTCCTCAGAGAGAACAGACCAGCAGAACACATGCCTGACCACGACTCTGAGCCGGGCTCAGAGAACGACTACGTGCACAAGTACAGTCCTGTCCATTTTACACACCTAACTGTGAGCTGTATCAACCTGCTGCTGTTCTGTATCAACCTGCTGCTGTTCTGTATCAACCTGCTGCTGTTCTGTATCAACCTGCTGCTGTTCTGNCTGTATCAACCTGCTGCTGTTCTGTATCAACCTGCTGCTGTTCTGTATCAACCTGCTGCTGTTCTGTATCAACCTGCTGCTGTTCTGACACTGTGCTGCCTCCAGTCCTCAGATGCAGATGTCGTGGCTCGGCCAGCAGAAGATGGAGGAGGTGAGCAGGAAGGACCGAACGAGCATGAACTACATCAAGTCGCGGAGCAACCAGGGCGTCCGGCAGACTGTGTAAGGCATCAACCCTCCTGAACATTCATCAGGGCCTGAAGGACAGCCCTGTCTAAGTTGAGTTTGCTGTTTAGGCGCGGGCTGATGGAGGACGACGCCGAGCCCATCTTCGAAGACGTGATGATGTCATCGCGAGGGCAGCTAGAGGACATGAACGAGGAGTTTGAAGATACGATGGTGATCGATCTGGTCAGTGATGCGTCTTTACCTGCGAGATGCTGTTTGGTGATTAATGAAAGTCAAATCATTTCATTCTGTGGAAACCTCCATGTTTTCAGCCGCCGTCGAGGAACAGACGTGAACGAGCCGAGCTAAGACCGGACTTCTTTGACTCTGCAGCAATGATCGAAGATGAGTCGGTATGTGCCATTAATTATTTTTTTGAACTTATACAGTGTTGTTTACAGTACCACAAAGTGATACTTGAGTAAAAGTACAAGTATCTTACCAAAAAATTACTTTGGTAAAAGTTAAAGTCTCCTTTAGGAATATTACTCGAGTAAAAGTCTTAAAGTATCTGATATTTTTTTGTACTTAAGTATTAAAAGTATTGATTTAAAATGAGCAGATAGATTTTCTGTAACAGGGCTCTAAAGTGCGACCAATTTGGTCGCAAATGCAACTTGATTTCCTCATAGTGCGACTAAGAAAAATATCCGGTCGCACTGGTGCAACCGAGAGGGAGGGGGAGCGGTCGCCCGCTGAAACTAAAAGTTTCCATCATGTTCCATAAAAATAATCCAGCAGTATCAATGGTCGCCCTCCGAGAGTCTCATCTCTCCTAATAACACTGCGCTCTGCTCCACACCTCCCGCTCACACACGTTTGTTGTTCTATCCTCATGGGGACTTTGCATTGACTTCCATTCATTTCCTGTCAATTCTACAGCCAACCATAACCTCCCAGGTAGGCTACACACCTGACCATAACCCTAACCTCACCAGGCTGTGTGTACCGGGGAAATGGTCAATAACTGTCCCCATCATGAAGCAAAAAATATGCACACACACAAGCGTGCACACATCGCGAAACAACCGTAGTTTTTTTTTTTTTTTAACCCAGAT